TGTTTGTGTGACAGTACTGTTTGTTGTGTAACAGTACTGTTTGTTGTGTGACAGTACTGTTTGTTGTGTGGCACCACTGTTTGTTGTGTGACAGTACTGTTTGTTGTGTGACACTACTGTTTGTTGTGTGACAGCACTGTTTGTTGTGTGACAGTACTGTTTGTTGTGTGGCACCACTGTTTGTTGTGTGACAGTACTGTTTGTTGTGTGGCACCACTGTTTGTTGTGTGACAGTACTGTTTGTAGTGTGGCACCACTGTTTGTTGTGTGACAGTACTGTTTGTTGTGTGACAGTACTATTTGTTGTGTGACAGCACTGTTTGTTGTGTGACAGTACTGTTTGTTGTGTGACAGTACTGTTTGTTGTGTGACAGTACTGTTTGTTGTGTGACAGTACTGTTTGTTGTGTGACAGTACTGTTTGTTGTGTGACAGTACTGTTTGTTGTGTGACAGTACTGTTTGTTTTGTGACAATACTGTTTGTTGTGTGACAGCACTGTTGTGTGACAGTACTGTTTGTTGTGTGACAGTACTGTTTGTTGTGTGACAGTACTGTTTGTTGTGTGGCACCACTGTTTGTTGTGTGACAGTACTGTTTGTTGTGTGACAGTACTGTTTGTTGTGTGACAGTACTGTTTTTTGTGTGGCACCACTGTTTGTTGTGTGACAGTACTGTTTGTTGTGTGACAGTACTGTTTGTTGTGTGGCACCATTGTTTGTTGTGTGACAGTACTGTTTGTTGTGTGACAGTACTGTTTGTTGTGTGACAGTACTGTTTTTTTGTGTGGCACCACTGTTTGTTGTGTGACAGTACTGTTTGTTGTGTGACAGTACTGTTTGTTGTGCGGCACCACTGTTTGTTTTGTGACAGTACTGTTTGTTGTGTGACAGTACTGTTTGTTGTGTGGCACCACTGTTTGTTGTGCGGCACCACTGTTTGTTGTGTGACAGTACTGTTTGTTGTGTGACAGTACTGTTTGTTGTGTGGCACCACTGTTTGTTGTGTGACAGTACTGTTTGTTGTGTGACAGTACTGTTTGTTGTGTGACAGTACTGTTTGTTGTGTGACAGTTCTGTTTGTTGTGTGACAGTACTGTTTGTTGTGTGACAGTACTGTTTGTTGTGTGACAGTACTGTTTGTTGTGTGACAGTACTGTTTGTTGTGTGACAGTACTGTTTGTTGTGTGACAGTACTGTTTGTTGTGTGACAGTACTGTTTGTTGTGTGACAGTACTGTTTGTTGTGTGGCACCACTTTGTCGTGTGACAGTACTGTTTGTTGTGTGGCACCACTGTTTGTTGTGTGACAGTACTGTTTTTGTGTGACAGTACTGTTTGTTGTGTGACAGTACTGTTTGTTGTGTGACAGTACTGTTTGTTGTGTGACAATACTGTTTGTTGTGTGACAGTTCTGTTTGTTTTGTGACAGTACTGTTTGTTGTGTGACAGTACTGTTTGTTTTGTGACAGCACTGTTTGTTGTGTGACAGTACTGTTTGTTGTGTGACAGTACTGTTTGTTGTGTGACGGTACTGTTTGTTGTGTGGCACCACTGTTTGTTGTGTGGCACCACTGTTTGTTGTGTGACAGTACTATTTGTTGTGTGACAGTACTGTTTGTTGTGTGACAGTACTGTTTGTTGTGTGGCACCACTGTTTGTTGTGTGACAGTACTGTTTGTTGTGTGACAGTACTGTTTGTTGTGCGGCACCACTGTTTGTTGTGTGACAGTACTGTTTGTTGTGTGACAGTACTGTTTGTTGTGTGACAGTACTGTTTGTTGTGTGACAGTACTGTTTGTTGTGTGAAAGCACTGTTTGTTGTGTGACAGTACTGTTTGTTGTGTGACAGTACTGTTTGTTGTGTGACAGTACTGTTTGTTGTGTGACAGTACTGTCTGTTGTGTGACAGTACTGTTTGTTGTGTGACAGTACTGTTTGTTGTGTGGCACCACTGTTTGTTGTGTGACAGTACTGTTTGTTGTGTGGCACCACTGTTTGTTGTGTGACAGTACTGTTTGTTGTGTGACAGTACTGTTTGTTGTGTGACAGTACTGTTTGTTGTGTGACAGTACTGTCTGTTGTGTGACAGTACTGTTTGTTGTGTGACAGTACTGTTTGTTGTGTGACAGTACTGTTTGTTGTGTGACAGTACTGTCTGTTGTGTGACAGTACTGTTTGTTGTGTGACAGTACTGTTTGTTGTGTGGCACCACTGTTTGTTGTGTGACAGTACTGTTTGTTGTGTGGCACCACTGTTTGTTGTGTGACAGTACTGTTTGTGTGACAGTACTGTTTGTGTGACAGTAATGTTTGTTGTGTGACAGTACTGTTTGTGTGACAGTACTGTTTGTGTGACAGTAATGTTTGTTGTGTGACAGTACTGTTTGTTGTGTGACAGTACTGTTTGTTATGTGACAGTGGAAGTGGAACAGAATTCTTCCTTCGTAAGCCATGCGTGTCGTAAGAGGCGACTAAAATGCCGGGACCAAAAGGCTAGTAACCCCTTCTCCTGTATATGTTACTAAATTTAAAAGGAGAAACTTTCGTTTTTCCTTTTGGGCGATCCCGCCTCGGTGGGATACGGCTGGTACGTTGAAAGGAATAAAGATTATATGTATATATATATATATATGTATATATATATATATATATATATATATATATATATATATATATATATATATATTATATATATATATATATATATGTATATATATATATATATATATATATATGTATATATATATGCAATAAGATCACAGTAAACAGGTGATTTCAGAATATGCAAAACAACCACTCTGAAAGAATAGAGAAATTCCAAGCGTTTTCGTGACTACTCACATTATCAAGGAATTTCTCTATTCTTTCAGAGTGGTTGTTTTGCATATATATATATATATATATATATATATATATATATATATATATATATATATATATATATATATATATATATATATATTATATATATATATATATATATATATATATACATATATATATATAGTGTATATAAAGGCTATTTGATCCACCACATCCTTCATAATGACTCACGAGATGGTAATAACATGACTGTAAACAAACCAGGGTACGGGTGAAGTATGAACTCAAGTTTTACAACTCACTTGCCGCGAGTTCAAGTCCTATCCGTACCTTGGTTTGTTTACATCCTTCATAACCTTGTTACGCAAAAAATTCTCATACTTTTCATCTCTTATTACAGTAAGTTATTTTATTATGTCAGTGAGACACGCAGTCCTCGAGCATTTTTTTTTATGTATAGAATTTCAAGGATATACAATGAGAGTCCCAGTAGTAGTTTGGATGTTTTACTGTTGTGTGTGCAAGTTTATAATCTTGGATATTTTTTTAGATATGATATTTAACTTGCATGGAAAGATCGTGTGTAAGCACAGTGCGAGAAAGTTATAAGTGCTTTGAAAATTACTATCAAATTTCATGCTTATTTTAGAAAAGTTTGAAGAGGAAGAAGACACGAAAATAGGATTAGTGTTTTTGTCTGAGTCAGTTTTGAGGATGAATAATTGTGAAAGTGACAGGACTCTACTTTGTTGTAATGAGCCTTTGACTGAGAGCATTTGCAGTTTGTTTTAGTTTTAGTATGTGACTGTGTCAGAAATTGAGTATCCACTTTTCTTCCCAAGCTGAAGTTCTTTTTGACTTTAATATACACGCTACAACTCCTTGGTCACATCTGGTAAACACACATGCAAAATCCGTGTACATAACATCTGCCTTATATTTTTCTTTGCATATATCGGTCATATTGTCGTAGTTGTTTAACAGATACGAGGTAGCTCATTTACCTGCTCAGAAACTTCGTTGGTCTGGCTTGCGAAAATCACGACTTTTCATAAAACTGGTAATAGGCTTTCTTAAATTTTCTCTGAAAGTGTCTTTGATGTTGGTATGTCTGGCCTGAAGATTTTTTTTGTCATGACTTTGCTGTGTCTGGTGCAGAGGTGAGCTGTGCAGGATGACAGATACAAGCGACAAGTGTTGTGGACAAGGACTCCTACTACAGACTCCATGTTGTGTGATTATACTCAACCCAGACACTGGTTTTCTACCATATCAGTTGAATTTTGTAAATTTTATGAGATTTTAGATTTTGCCGTCGAATTTATTAAAATTATAGATTTCCAAAAATTAGATTCTGACGTACAGAACACTGGTATATTGTTAAGAGTTTTGTCGAAGTCAGAAGAATTTTGTGTCATCAGAAATATAATTCGTAAGTCGGGCCAAGTTCACGAACAAATTAACTGAATATCAAAAATGATTATAATATCAATTATAATTCTTAAAGGAGATGGACCGGTAACCAGGGGAAGGCTTCGGTCAGACAATCTAAAGCTCCAACAATGGGTCATCATAAGACTAAGACCCACGTCAGGGAACACTTGTCCTGTTTCCTGACAAATCTTACCTAACCTAACTTAAATTATCTGCATCTTTTACTCTAGTTAGTAGATGGATTGCCAAACATGCAGTCAGACTGTTCTTTCGAATCCTGTCCGTTCCTTATGTACTTCCTTTTGTACGTAGATTGTCAATACTGGTACAAGATTTTGATTTTAATTATGCTTGTGCAAAAAAAAAATTTTTTTATTGTTTTTTTCCTATATTTTGAATGTCTTTGTTACTTTTGTATTTGTTCCCTCTGGTACGAGTGTTTAGTTAATACTCTGCGCTGACTAGTCGGTTTTTCCTTGTTTTTTTTATTTGCAGTTTTCTCTCTCTTCCGCATGTCTCATCTCAAGGCCTCTAAGTTAAGATTTCTCCACTATCCATCATTCATCTGCCAAACTTATCCAAAGTCTTGGCATGAGACTGTTTACACACTGACTCACCGGTGTCCTCACTCACCCCTTGACTCAATTATCACCTACCTACCCCAGAGACACTAATGTATTCACTCACTCTGTCTCACTTATGAGTTACCTAACCTCTTAGTATGAGTGTGCTGGCTTGCCCACAGCCCCGCCTGACCCTGTCAGCAACTGCACCGTGGAAAACATCAGCTCCAGCGGAGTAGGGATCCGGTGTCAGGCCGGCTGGGATGGCGGCCTGACACAGACGTTCACACTCTCCGTCAGTCACGCCCGCGCTCACACCGACGCCCACCACAGCAAGAAGGCCCCGCGGGTGCTAGCCAACACTTCCACCTCCCCGCGGCCGGAGTTCAGCCTGACGGGGCTGCAGCCGGGCACGGAGTACGTGCTCACCATCCTGGGTGTCAACAAGAAGGGTCAAAGTGAGCCAGTTAGGCTGGCTATATTCACCCTTAAGGACGTGGCAGAGAAACGTACTAGCCCAGGTAGAGTGCAAATGTATTTTTGTAGATTATACTTTTCCTTCTAATTAACAAGGTGTGTATAGGCTGTTGAGCTAGAAGCAAAATAACTTGTAAACTAGAAAAGTTTAGTATTACTGTTATTATTAAGCACACATGTTAGAAAATACGAAATAGTAAGATTTTGTAGCTAGATCAAGTCTAGCTGTAAAATTAATACAATAGATAAGTGGTATTTTTTTATGTATTTACCATTATCATGTAGTGAATAAACCATAACTTATTCACGAAGTTTGGGATAGAATTATGTGCAAATTTTAATGTTTTATCTGAGCCTACTGATCCTGACACACACACACACACACACACACAAACACACACACACACATACACAAAACACACACACACACACACACCCAACACACACACACAACACACAACACACACACACACACACACACACACAACCCACACACACACACACACAACCCACACACACACACACATACACACACACACACACACACACACACACACACACACACACACACACACACACACACACACCCACACACCACACACACAACACACACAACAGTAAGGCAAGATCTAAGGTATCACTTCGTCTCACCGAGGTACTGAGACAACTACTGGGATCAACTACTTATACTTCATAAAAGAAAAAAAAAACTTTTGAGACGTGAAATTTGGCTTTAATATAATTTTTAGAAGATCATGCTCGGGTAAAACAAATTAAATAAGTTATATAAATTACTTTGAGAATGCCGGTAACAGTGTTTTAAAATCATATTAATAATCCCGTCAACCTCTCTTCCTCTCCTTTAATTAGACCTTTCATACCGCTGCATTATACTTTTTTCCCTCATTATCATCTACATAATATTCACAGGACAACTCTGCCTCCAGCTTCCTCCCAGCTGCAACATTCCTATACCCAATAAATTAGACACATGTGCAACACTTGGGTATCTTTCTTGAGGAAACGTTTCGCCACACAGTGGCTTCATCAGTCCATACAAAGGAGAATGGTGAAGAAAATATGTGTCTACTTTATCAACTTGTCAGTTCTCTGACCCACTCATATACATTCCTATTCCCATGCTTCACATCTATACATAAGCGTGGCCACCATTATCAGATTTTAACATCCGCTGACAAACTTCTTACTTTCCAAAGATTCTTCAAAACTCTTGCAACTTTCTTGTCTTTATATATTTTTCTGTGATTTACTTCGTATTTCTTTGACCCATATACTGATACATACACTCCAAGTGTCTGAATACATTCCCATCATTCATTCTCCTTCCTTCCAATCTCACCTCTAATCCTGTCTAGCACTTTTGTGCGATTAGCATTATCCAATTCATTCCAATCCCTCCCTTCCTAGAGTCCTTTCTGTTAAGCTGGGTGAATTGGATGAGTACAGTCAATTAGCGTATCTATCTCTGGATTAGTGGATGATGGATCGAGCCTCGATAACTCCTCAGTGGTTAATGAGCCACAGAGGCTCAGTCCTTCACATGAAGTATAACGGGGACTCTCAGAAGCTGAGTTTTAATAATTTAAATACTCAAAAGTTTTAATTTTTATTCCCACGTCCCACTGTCATTAAATTAACCACTGTCTTCCCAGAACCGTGTTGACATCACAGCTCAAATGACCCTTGAGTTGAACCATTAAATACACTGTGGCTGTGTGTCTTATTTCCTCAATCTGTCAGTGTTAACATACCTGTACTTGTACATTAGAGGGTAACACAACTTTCTGACCAAGACAACAGTGCATTAGTGTTCGCAATAAAGCTAACAGAATTCTTGGCTTCGTATCTAGAAGTATAAATAATAGAAGTCCTCAGGTTGCTCTTCAACTCTATATATCCTTGGTTAGGTCTCATTTAGACTATACTGCTCAGTTCTGGTCACCGTATTACAGAATGGATATAAATGCTCTGGCAAACGTACAGAGGAGGATGACAAAGTTGATCCCATGTATCAGAAATCTTCCCTATGAGGATAGACTGAGGGCCCTGAATCTGCACTCTCTCGAAAGGCGTAGAATTAGGGGGGATATGATCGAGGTGTATAAATGGAAAACAGGAATAAATAAAGGGATGTAAATAGCGTGCTGAAAATTTCCAGCCAAGACAGGACTCGCAGCAATGGTTTCAAGTTGGAAAAATTAAGATTCAGGAAGGATATATGAAAGCACTGGTTTGGTAATAGAGTTGTGGATGAGCGGAACAAATTCCCGAGTACAGTTATTCAGGCTAAAACGTTGTGTAGTTTTAAAAATAGGTTAGATAAATACATGAGTGGGTGTGGGTGGGTGTGAGTTGGACCTGACTAGCTTGTGCTGCTGGATCTGGTGCCGTGGTCCTTCCTTGAGTGGAGGTAACCAGACTGGGTGGGTCATTAGGCTTATCCGGGATGGGGGGGACATGGACCTGCTTGGCATGGGTCAGTAGGCCAACTGCAGAGTTCCTTCTTTCTTATGTTCTTATGTTCTTATAAATCTGGGTCTTGCCGTGTAGGTGTGGGCATGGTCGGTCTGACACCGATTGTGGGAGTGGTGGTGGCTGTGGTGACCTCAGTGGTGGTGACGTGTGTGGTGATGGTGGTAGTGGTGAGGTCACGACGTCGCCACCTGCCTCGCCCCGAGGTCAAGATGGTCTATGAGAAGGGGTCTGGCAGTCCCTCTCAGGTGAGGAATCAAGAAGATCCCATCGATGCTGACGAACACAATCCAGACCTCATCCCTGTCAACCACGGTGAGTTAACTCAACCAAAAACCATTTCTAGGATGCCAGTGAAGGTGTTAGGTAAATGGACACAGATGCAGCTAATGTGACGTTTTACTGCGGCAACGTTTCGCTCTCCAGGAGCTTCGTCACGCGTGATAAAGCTCCTGGAAAGCGAAACATTACTATAATAAAATGTCACATTAGTTGCATCTGTGTCCATTTAATTAATATTTTGTTAGTAATTCTACCACTATTAGTGCTAGTAAAGATTTCTTATTCCTAGTATATAATAAATAGTAAATAATAATTATTATAATAATAGTTAAACCAATATCTTCGGCTCCAGCTTTTGAGAAAGTCCATATCAAAGCTTTTTTTGTTTTTTTTTGTTTCATATATGGGAAAAATATTTCAGTTTGATGAGGGGGGGGGAGGAAGTACTTTCATCACTGGCAGTGTCTTCACCGTTGTCACTGTCGCGCTCATTACCAACGTTTTAGATGTGGTCAGTGTCTTACCATAGGTTTATCAACCACAGTAAGTGTCTAACCCATGGACAGTACCTCACCCAGTACACCAACAATATATTACATACCACTTATATATTCCCTTCATTCCCTCAGAGCACATTAACTCGGCATGATGTCCATTAATATGTATATTCCGCAACAGGTTTCTCTCCATGATTACGACACTGCATATGCAATGTGTAACCATAATATATACAATACGTGAGCTCTGGATTTCCTAATATAAATCAGTAATACTCTCATGCTTAAGTCAAGCAGCTGTTAGGGTACATGCTCAGGAGCTCCGCTCTCTGGGGCTCTTTGAGGTTTAACATGCAAAAATATTCTTTTTTCCCATGCTTGGATTTCTGCTTTCGGCTTTAGGTGCTTCAAATATTGACGGTCATTAGTACCAATCTTTTGGGTAAATTGGATGCTGTTTTGAATGTACTTTACTCCCTGAACAAGGACTGAAGTAATCTTTGGGTATATATGCACCGAAATGCATGTACGTATCGGTGTATAGATGAACTTCCTTGAAGGATATACCTTCAAATGTGTGGTGAAATTAATTTGTAAAAGGTGTTGTATGTGTTAAATATACGTGTAAAATGTATTGTATATTCATTGTATATGCATACTTGTATACCTGCTTGTTAATACAAATATCTAATCAGCCAATCACGTGGCAGCACCTCGATGCCTAAAAGCATGCAGACATGGTCGAGAGGTTCAGTTGTTGTTCTGACCAAATATCAGAATGGTGAAGACAAGTGGTTTAAGTGGCTTTGACAGTGTAATGATTGTTGGTGCCAGACAGGGTGTTTTCAGTATCTCAGAAACTGCTGATCTGAATTTTTTACGCACAACAGTCTCAAGAGTTCACAGAGAATGGTGTGAAAAACAAAACATCCAATGAGCCACAGTTCTGTGGCGAAAAATCTTGGTAATGAGAGAGATCAGAGGAGAATGGACAGACTGAGTGAAACTAACAGGAATACGACAGTAACTCGAATAATAAGTGTTACAACAGTGGTATTCAGAATCTCCGAACGCACAGCACTTCTAACCTTGAAGTGGATGAGCTATAGCAGCAGCAGCAAACACAATATTGAGATCCATTCTTGTCAGCTAAGAACAAGAAACAGGCGCTACAGTGGGCACAGACTCACCAGAACTGAATTGTTGAAGATTGGAAAACGTTGCCTGGTCTGAAGAATTGCGATTTCTGTTGCGACTTGCAGATGTCAGGGTCATAATTTGGTATAAATTTCAGGAATATGGTGGAACGGGAGATTCAGAGCATGAATGTGCAGCCGACAGATCTGCAGCAACTGAGTGATGCGATCATGTCAACATTGATCAGAATCTCTTAATGAATGCTTCCAGCGCCTTGTTGAATCCATGCCACGAAGAATTCAGATTTTTGAAGAGGCAAAGGTGGGCCCTACATAGTTCTAGAAGTGGCCGCTGACTATATACACGTGTAAAACAAGCGTAGTATGTCCTTTATACGTACACGTGAAAAATGTGTTACATATAATAAAAACACGAAATAAACATGTTGTACATTGAGAATACTCATAAGGTTCTCTGCCGAGTACTCATACTGTTTCCCTCTTAAAGAAACGTTCCTGTCACTTCCATTCTCCTTCCACTAAGAAGTCACAAAACAGTCACTTCATTTGATCACGTTCACTCATCAACAAGAGAAATCATCGCAGAGAATCCTCGCTTACTGCCGTGAGGCAAGCGCTGAGGATGCTGTAAGAGCAACCATGCAGAACTCTGAACTAGAAAAAAAACACTTTTCTATCAAGGCTAACCTGTCAAAACTTTGAACATAGCAGATTGCTAGATAGTCACAGTAGCTTGCTTTCTGTATAACTTTCAGGGCAGTAAATGAAGCATTTTTTTTTTAGCAAAGGTCGACGTCCAGTGAGTGTTATGTCTCACACTCTTACATCCCGTGAGTACTATGAATCACACTTACGTCCCGTGAGTACTATGTCTCACACTCTTACATCCCATGATACTATGAATCACACTTACGTCCCGTGAGTACTATGTCTCACACTCTTACATCCCGTGAGTACTATGAATCACACTTACGTCCCGTGAGTACTATGTCTCACACTCTTACATCCCATGAGTACTATGAATCACACTTACGTCCCGTGAGTACTATGTCTCACACTCTTACATCCCATGAGTACTATGAAATCACACTTACGTCCCGTGAGTACTATGTCTCACACTCTTACATCCCGTGAGTACTATGAATCACACTTACGTCCCGTGAGTACTATGTCTCACACTCTTACATCCCATGAGTACTATGAATCACACTTACGTCCCGTGAGTACTATGTCTCACACTCTTACATCCCATGAGTACTATGAATCACACTTACGTCCCGTGAGTACTATGTCTCACACTCTTACATCCCATGAGTATTATGAATCACACTTACGTCCCGTGAGTACTATGTCTCACACTCTTACATCCCATGAGTACTATGAATCACACTTACGTCCCGTGAGTACTATGTCTCACACTCTTACATCCCATGAGTACTATGAATCACACTTACGTCCCGTGAGTACTATGTCTCACACTCTTACATCCCGTGAGTACTATGAATCACACTTACGTCCCGTGAGTACTATGTCTCACACTCTTACATCCCATGAGTACTATGAATACACACTTACGTCCCGTGAGTACTATGTCCCCACACTCTTACACCCCATGAGTACTATGAATCACACTTAGGGTCCCGTGAGAAACTATGTCTCACACTCTTACATCCCGTGAGTACTATGAATCACACTTACGTCCCGTGAGTAACTATGTCTCACACTCTTACATCCCATGAGTACTATGAATCACACTTACGTCCCGTGAGTACTATGTCTCACACTCTTACATCCCGTGAGTACTATGAATCACACTTACGTCCCGTGAGTACTATGTCTCACACTCTTACATCCCGTGAGTACTATGAATCACACTTACGTCCCGTGAGTACTATGTCTCACACTCTTACGTCCTATGAGTACCATGTCTCACACTCTTACGTGCTGTGAGTACTATGTCTCACACTCTTACATCCCGTGAGTACTATGTCTCACACTCTTACATCCCGTGAGTACTATGTCTCACACTCTTACATCCCGTGAGTACTATGAATCACACTCTTACGTCCCGTGAGTACTATGTCTCACACTCTTACATCCCGTGAGTACTATGAATCACACTCTTACGTCCCGTGAGTACTATGTCTCACACTCTTACATCCCGTGAGTACTATGAATCACACTCTTACGTCCCGTGAGTACTATGAATCACACTCTTACGTCCCGTGAGAACTATGTCTCACACTCTTACATCCCGTGAGTACTATGTCTCACACTCTTACATCCCGTGAGTACTATGAATCACACTCTTACATCCCGTGAGTACAATGAATCACACTCTTACGTCCTATGAGTACTATGTCTCACACTCTTACGTCCTGTGAGTACTATGTCTCACACTCTTGCATCCCGTGAGTACTATGTCTCACACTCTTACGTCCTGTGAGTACTATGTCTCACACTCTTACGTTCTATGGGTACTATATATTATTGCTATAACAGAGACCTGGCTCAATCTGAAAGATAGAGAGATGCCCTCTGAATGTCACATACAAGGCTATAAATTATTCCACACTGACAGGGTCAACAGGAAAGGTGGTGGAGTAGCGATGTATGTCAGAGACAATTTAAATTGTTGTGTTAGACAAGATATTAAATTAGAAGCGTCAGCCACTGAATCTGTTTGGTTACAGCTTCTCGAGGGCCGAGAAAAACTAATTTTGGGTGTGATTTACAGGGCCCCAAATCTTGATAGGGAGTGCAGTAAACTTCTATGGACGAAATTCGTAAGGCATCTACATACGAAAATGTTGTGCTAATGGGAGATTTCAACTATAGACAGATTGACTGGAGCAATTTGACAGGAAATTTAGAGTCAGGTGACTTTTTGATACGATCCAGGATTGTTTTTTAAAACAGTTTGTGACAGAGCCAACTAGGGGAAATAACCTCCTTGACTTGGTTCTTGCCAGTAGGGAAACACTAATAAATAACTTGAGGTTAATGATGAACTTGGGGAAAGTGATCACAAATCACTCAGTTTTAATATATCATGGAATTCCCCTAATAATGGCAATCAAGTCTCCGTCCCTGACTTTCGCTTGGCTGATTTCATAGGACTGAAAAATTACTTAGGTGGGCTGAACTGGAATGACCTGACTAAGGGTCAGGTAGGTGGTGATGGTTGCCGATATGATGCTTTCCAGGGCATAGTTCTAGCTGCTCAGTCAAATTATGTTCAAATAGGGAAATCAGATCAAACAAAAATGATCCTAAATGGATGAACAATAGATTAAAATATCTGATTGGTCAAAAGAGAGGCATATATAGGCAAATCAAAAGAGGAGAGGGGCAATTGAGAAATCGATATATTCAGTTA